GAAATTAAGTGTATCCCAAAGTCATATTCAGAAAGAATAAACCAGATTTATTTAAGAAAGGACTTGTGTCGCTAAGGTTCGTCGGAACGAATTTACGAAAAATTAACTAACGAACGGAGGCGTAACAATATATTGTTTGATCAGTTGGGTACTCTCACTGTTAATGATATTTGCGGACGTAATCCCAATAATATTAGACATAATTCGACCATCTTATGAGATTTAGGTTATTCCTATATACAAATTATAAACTAACAGCTGTTGTTGTTTGTTATTAAGCACAAAGCTAAACAAAGGGTTATCTGTGCGCTGCCCGCCACGGGTATCGAAACTCGGTTTCTAACGTTTTAAGTCCGCAGACATACCACTTTGCCACTAACAAAACAAAAAGAGTTCAATTTCTGTGTTCATCATATACTTTAGTGGTAAAATAATTTTGAAATTGAACATAAATATCTAAATATTGAACAGAATTAAATGGAGGCTTTCAAATTTCTTCCACTTCAAGTACAGTGTAGAGTAAATATTTTGAACATCTTAAAGGATAATATGGTTTTATGAATGGACTGCATTAAAATAGTAATCTTGTGTAACTTGTGTTTCTTTATAATAATAATATCATCTATTCACCTAAATGTGTGTGAATATATCGTGTAGAATTTATATAGAGGTTTTCCAAATTTGCGTTAACATTAACAACAAACTGTGTGTCTTCATTTGTGTGTAATTTATATTTTTCAGAACGATTTGAGTGTAAGATATTAAAATTGAATAGCAGTAATTACAGTACTAGCGCTTGTTTTTATTCAGCTTTTCCAATATTCAATTTTTTAAAGTAATCCACGAGATGTTTTTGTTTCCTGACTGGGTGTATTTTCGATATAGACATTAAAGTATTTAAAACGTTGTGCATAAAATGACTTGTTTGTTGTTAAGCAGAAAACTGCACATTTGGATATCTGTTCTGTGCCGACTGCAGGGATGGAACATAAGATTTTAGCGCTATAAGCCTCCGAGTTTATCGTTGAGCTATCGGGAGGCAAGATAAAATCTCCGCATTAATGTAATTTATTTAAATGCCAATACATTTAAACTTAAGAGGAGATGTGTGGAATTTTAAATTATCAGACACACGATATTTTGAATTATTTTAGTGAAGTTGTGAATATATTTCCATTGTCAGAAAAAATAAAGCAATAGCCTTTGTATTGAACTTGGTAATTATAAAAGTATCTCAAATACATTCAATTATTGGTTGATTTACCTACAATGGGATGTATACATTTTAGTTTTGATATGTTTATCTTACGTTTGAAGTATTTGAATGATATTTTATTCCAAGTATGTTTCTGAGATGATTCATAATATGAGATAATTTGTTTGTTTTCCGATATTCGACGAAAGCTACTCAAGGCATGTTTGAGCCAGGCGTTCCTGATTTTGAACTGATAGACTAGAAGGAAGGCAACTAGTCATCAGCGCACACCGCCAACTCCTGTCTAACAGAATAGTGGGGTTTGATTGTCACTCTTATAATGTATCTACGGCCCTAAACTGGTGAATACGTTTTTGGGGCAATAGGGCGCGAACCATGAACCTTCAGACTCACACTTTAAATTACTCTATTCACTAGGCCACTCCTAGCCCAATGAAAACATGTATTGCAATGTTAAAAATAAATATCCTGAAATAGTTTTAACGTGTGTCGATTTTGATTGTTTCCACAAAATTAATCTTTATAATATTTACCACAAGATGGCAGCATCATATGTAAACAAGGCGGAGCTTTCAGTTTGAGTGACGTACGACGAAGGACAGAAAAATGTCTATATTATAACATAATTTTGCACATATTTAATAATAATACAATACAAAATGGTAAATACGTATAATATTACTTAAATATATTTATTCTTTATCAGTAAATCTCAAGTTAAGCAATTACAGTAAAATAATACATTTCTGACATTCGCCGAACCATAGCCAAACACAAACCACTATCGAGAACACCGCGGAGCAGCGACGGCATTTTTTTATATGTCTGGAAAAGTTTTTTTATTTTTTTATACTTGATGTAGTATTCATCGGATGAGACGAGACGAAGGCTCTTAAGTTTATTCGAGCGAATTGAAGCTGTCATTGTGAAACTTTTGTGATCTTTAACCATTTTTGTTGTTTTTTAATCCACGTAAGCTAAGCGGCATCTGGCAAGCAACTGTTATTTATCATTGCTCGATTCTGGTAATAAATTAAACGAAATTTTCCGCGCCATAATTTGAGATGGTTTGTCTTGTCGGGCTGCGTATTTAGAAAGAATTCCTACGTTCTGTCTTCAGGTCTGATTGACCACAAAAGCAACTTTGGGGTCGATTGGCAAGTATGTTAAGCTTTCAATACAAATTAAATAATTTAACACATTAGTTTCCTTGTTTACAACAAACTGTTAAGTTGTAATATAGTAATTTTCTCAGTATGAACTATTATTGTGTAAGCTAACGTTTGTGATTTTTACTTAGTTACGCTTCGAATTATTACTATTATATACAATAGGCCTAGCTTTCATTAGGCTTAACTTTAACTTTTCACAAGATCTGTAGACTATAGGTCTTTCTCTAATGTGGCTCTGCTAATACTAATAGTAGGGCTGAAAATTTTATCTTATTAGTTGTACCACTAGAGCGATTTCTAATTTGTTTATTATCAAAACTGAATGAAATTGAAAATTAAGATTAAACAGAGAATGTGTACGTCAAATTCTCGTTGATAGTAATACAATTTCAAAAGATAAATCCTTGTAACTTATAACTTATTTATTATAAGTTAGAATCATCCACGAATTGACTTAAAGTTAAACTAAAAAAAAGTAACTTTAATTGACCATATAATTATACTACAATATTATTAATAATCATTAGTGTTAGTCATTACTATATATTGTTATAACTTTATATCAGTACTTACTAGTATTACTCATCATGTATTAGTGGTAATAATAATATACTTGTAATGGAACTAAAATTTGTCAGATAATAAATTTACAGTTGGCCATTTGCAGGTTTTAGGAATAGGCTCTGTCCTTGAGGTATCTAAGAAACAGTATGAGATTTCTTAAACTACTAGTAATAGTACTACCTAACAGGTATTTATGATATTTGATAAATTGTAGTTAACATTTAAACATGGATGTGTATACCTCATAAAGTAATGTCCAAAGAAACATTTATGGCTTTCCTTTTGTTAAAAATTTTTACTGACATTTATAGAGAATATCTGCCATACCATTTCAAGCTGTTGCCAAATCTGTTGATAAGTTACAAATATAATATAATTAACAGTAAACTTATTACACATTATACGTTTCAATGGACGAGTTTAAAAATTAAAGCCAAAGAAATAACTTCTTAGGAAGTTTGATATTTCATTAGACTAAAGAATTTTGAACCATTAACAAATCAACATTTTTGTACACATAATTATTTCATTTGTTTCTTAGATAATCCTAGTGGTAATTTTTTTTAAATTGGTAATAATTAAATGTCACATTAATGACTATGACACTTTATCCTATCACACTACTTGTTTAGAACTGTACCTACCTCGTATATTATTTTTAATCAATCCTTGGAGAATGACCATTAGGAATCGTTCCTATCTCTATATAACAAAATACACCTTTGTGCTAATAGCCAAATCCAGAATTTTTTTTAGAAGTAGAATATTCTAGCAAGGTAATTCTGAAAAATACAGTATAATTTTGTGAAAACAAATATTTTTGTACAATAAGTCATTATCTAAAAGAAAATTATTATTGAGATTCTTTAGCAAGTACAGGTCTTGATATAGTATTATTATTATTATTATTATTAGATAATATGTGAAAAGTGAAAAAATATTTAACTGATTAGTGACTGATATTCTTTAAATATATTATATTTTCTGTGCTGGTTATGAATGTGTATACTTTTTAAGTTAAGTCATTAGTTTTAAAGATTTACAAAACAGTAATACGTATGTGAAATTTTTAATCTTTATGGACTTGGTTCTGGTGGCAGTACCACCTTCAGTGGTAATGATAACATGATTGGTTAATATTTATTTTACGGTTCCTTATAATCCTGAGTTATCATATACAGAGAAGTTATATATTTTCCAAAATTTCACTCTGCATTTAATTTAAACATCATCTGTATGTAGTAAATAATATTTATTAATATATTGTTTTACACATAATTTGTTGACACTACGAGAGAGAGAGGATGCCTTAAACTGTTATTAAGAAGCAGATCCTACTTGTACAACACCACTTACTCACAAAAAAAGACATTTACATATTTTAGTATTGAAACTCGCTGTTCACACTATGGTCCACCGTGTAAGACTTGCAAGGTCCTGTTCAGTAAGATAAATTCTAAATAGATTTATCTCTTCTCACTTTCTTAATATCATAAAAAAATTTAGAAATGCAAGTCTCCAAGAAGCTGTCCAAATGTTTGGCTTAGATAATAAACAAAGGACACAAAATTGTTCAAGAAGTTGTTAATATAAATAATAAGTAACAAAAGAATCCAGAACAGTTCCTTAAGAGCAGTCATATTCTTCTGTAAGAAATATGTTATTTGGGTCTGAACTTTTCAACTAATTTCATAATCATTCTAATGTAATAATTAATGTCTGACTTGAAGTAGTGTGAAAGGCTTTCTAGGATGCAAGTTAAGTATTTTTAACAAGATGGGAGTTATCTGATTGGTACTTAAATCTTGAGTTACAATATCAGACAGGACACCCTCATTCAAAAAAAATAAATAAATAAAAACCTTAGCAAGAGACTTCTAACAATTTGATAAAGCAAGAAAACCTCTTTCTAAAACAATGCTGATAATCATTATATGAATATCAGTTACTTACTTTTTTTTAATCTAAAACAATGCTGATAATCATTATATAAATATCAGTTACTTACTTTTTTTTAATCTAAAACAATGCTGATAATCACTATATAAATATCAGTTACTTACTTTTTTTAATCTAAAACAATGCTGATAATTATTATATAAATATCAGTTACTTACTTTTTTTTAATCTAAAACAATGCTGATAATTATTATATAAATATCAGTTACTTACTTTTTTTTA